ACCCCGTGCTGCAAGAGCTACGAGGACTGTGACAGCGGCATCATGGAGGACTCGGCCATAAAGTAGGAGTACATGCTCAACACCACACCAAGTGCCTGTGCCTCATGTATGGGGACATTGCCTCTGGCTACCACTACAGCGTGGCCTCCTTCGAGGCCTGCAAGGCCTTCTTCAAGAGAACCATCCAAGGTGTGTGGTGGGCAGCACAGGCCTGGTTCAGTGCAGGTGGAGATGCCTGACCTTCCAGGGAGCAGCCAGGTCTGGCACCCTGGGAGCAAAGGTTCTGGAGGGCCCCTTCCTATGCCTCAGGGGTCCTCATGTCTAGGACTCTGGGCAAGGACTCTCTGAGGCTTGCACCCCGGAAACCACAAAGAAAACCCACACAAATGCTTAACCATGGGTGCCTGATCAGTTTGGCAAGCACTGTCCGATGTGTGCCTCCCCAAAAGCTCATTTTTCTGGAAAAAAAATAGCATCATTGCCCTGCCATTCCAGACCTGCTGAAATATAATGGGTTTCCTTAAAAAAAAAAAAAAAAAAAAAACTGTGGCAGACACTTTAATGCTTGGGAGTCAAGTCAGGGAGAAATCACAGAGGGGTCCCTCAGCTCCCAGTCTAGCATTGGGAAAAGGGAGTTAGGAAAGTAAAGAGAATCTCAGAAAAGTGTCAGAACTTTGGGATATTGATAATACTGAGAATACATATTTTTAAAATTCATAAATGCTTTGAGTATAGTTTGGTTAAACGCTTTGGATGTTCACCAGTGTTTGAGTAACTGACAAAGTGATTGATAGCCTTTTCGTAAATATTTTAGGTTTTGGCCAGGGATTTAGTTTAGTGGTTCCACCATCTGCCTCACAAGCGCAAGATCCCGAGTTCGATCCCCGGTACCAAAAAAAAAAGTTAGGTTTTAAGTAATTTTCCCACAATGTGGGAACCCACTGATGCCTCCTAATCTGAAATTAAGATAGAATCTGGATTAAGATATTGCCCCCAAGGACCTTTTCAGCAATCATAAAGGATCAAGGATCCAAGATGGAAATTAAGGCCTTCAATTCTACAGATTCTAGAGATTTCTAAATTCTAGAGATTTCAAAAGCACATCTCTGTCTGATGCAAACAAATCTATTTTACTTTTTTTTTCTTTTTTCCTTTTTGCAGTGCTAAAGCCCAAACCTAGGGCTTGCCACACCTTAGCCAAGGAAAGGCGCTACTTCTAAGCCACATTTTCAGCCCACAATTTACATTTTACTGAACTGCTTTACTGCTAAACTCATTGCTTCTGCTACTCCTTCTCCTTCTGTTTTTGTTTGTTTTGTGGTACTAGGCCTAGGGATGAACTTAGGGGTGCTCTACCACTGAGAGCTACATCCCCATTCCATTTTATATTTTGAAACAGAGTCTCTGTAAATTGGCCAGGCTACCCTCAAACTCGTGATCCTCCTGCCTGGGCCTTCTAAGTAGCTGGAATTACAGGCATGCACCACTGTGCCCAACTTGTTAGTACTATTTTTTTAAAGGCATTTAAACTGGCAAAGGCTCTGAGGTACCAGAAACGAAAAGGAATAGAAACAACAGTGCATATTAGTTCTACCTAGTTCCCTGTATCAAGTGCTGTACTAAATGCTTTCAATGTTGTCTCATTACATCTTCACAACACCCCATCACCCCATCAGCATTGTGGAGACAAGTCCCTTGCCCAAGGTCACTCAGCTAGTACAGAGCAAAGCCAGTATTTGAACCTAAGTCTTCTGGTTCCTGAACCAATACACTTAACCCTATGTAAATTGCATAGACTCTCAGATGTCACACTCCTAATTCATTTACAGAGTACTAAAGATGAGAAACTATGGCTCAAAGCAGGAGGTCATTGTTCCAAGGTCACAGAAGGTGGTGGTAGAGCTGGGACTGGAACACTTCTCCTGACCCCCGTACAGCTCCAATAGTTTGTTCATGGCACTGCACAGAGCTTGAAGCCCAGGAGACGGGGTTCCTATTTATATTTGCCCTACCCCACTGAAAACTAGGGACTTCAGTTTAATTTGAAGCTATGATCATTCATGGCTGCCTTTGACTCAGCTGGACCCTAATATAGGAAGGTTACCATAGCAACAGGAGCCCAGTCTCCAAGCACAAGAAATTGAATGGAGCTGGAATTTTGCCTGAAATCTCCTAAAAGTATCCTCACACCCACCTGAAAGTATAAAGGTAGGCAGTAACTATGGACCTCAGCTAGACCATGCTCCACTGGGAATCAGTTTGTCCATTAGCAAAACGAAATTCTCTATAAACTCTAAGCTCTTCCCTTTCTGATATATCCAGTGTACAATTGTTTGATTGGTCTATTGCTCTATCTATACTAGAGCTTGGGGATAAGACTGGTATCCACTCTCTGGTTTCCCCAATTCCCCCTTTTAGACTCTGTATGTTAGCTGCCTGGGGATTCACTCTTTCACTGGAAAGAACTACCTCCCCTGGGGATCCAGAACAGTGGCCTGATAATTAAGGTTCAAATCCCACCTTTACCACTTACTGACAGTGTGATCACTGAAAAATTATTTAACTTGTTTTGTTATTGGTTTTTTGTTTGTTAGGTTGTTTTGTTTTGTTTTGGTACTGGTGATCAAACTCAGGACCTTGATTGAGCTTGCAAGGCAGACACAGCACCACTGAGCTAAATCCCCAGCCCTGTTATTGTTGGTTTTTTTGGTTTTTTTTTTTTTTGTACTGGGCATCAAACTCCAGACCTTGCGCTTTCGAGGCAGGCAGCAGAGCCACTGAGCTAAATAATCCCCAGCCCCTGTCATTGTTTTGACACAGGGTCTTGCCACACAGTTCAGGCCAGCCTTAAATTCATTACATACCCTAGGCTGGCCTTCAACTCACAGCAATCCTTCAGAGCGCTTGATTGCAGGCATGTGCCATCATGGCTGACTAAAAATTGTTTAACTTTTCTGAGTCCATTTGTACACCTTAAAAATGGAGCTTATTGGCCAGGGATTTAGCTCAGTGGTTTCGCTGCCTGCTACGCAAGCATAAGGACCCGAGTTCAATCCCCGGTACCCAAAAAAAAAAAATAGGAGAAAAATGGAGCTTACACTCAGTGCCTTTCACCACTTGTTGCCAGGATGAAGTAGTTCATGAGCCAGGTGTAATAAGGACAACACCTGGCACACAATGGTGGTATTCATCACCATCTCCACCCCCTTACCAAGGCCAAAGGGTCTAGAGGCCCCAGTGAACAGAGCCAACACCAGGGAGACCTGGGAAGGGACAGTGCACAGGCAAGATGATAAAGGGGTTGACACCCTTTCCCAAGGCATTCTGCTGGGGCCTGGGCCCCTGACAGGCAGATGAGGAAGAATGGTAAATCCAGCAGCTGGAGGCATACAGGGATTTTGAGCATCATGGTTAATTGCTTGGGAATCTCTCCTGGCCTCCATTTTCCTCTCATCTTACAGCAGTAATTAACCAAGCACCTACTATGTTGTGCCAAGTCAAGTCCTGCTTTCATAGAAACATCACAGTTCCATCATGATCTCCATTATACAGATGAGAAGGGCCAGGGATTCAGCTCAGTGGTTCCACCGCCTGCCTCGAAAGCACAAGGACCCAGGTTTGATCCCCAGTACCACAAAAAAAAAAAAAAAAAAGCAAACATACAGATGAGAAAACAGATTCAGAGACAGGAAATGACTTGTCCAAGTTCACATGAAGACCCTAGTCTCAAACAGTCCAGTTGCACCCTAAAGAAGCTTGTCAGCCTTGAGAGCTCTCAAGTAGGAATGACAACTGTGGCTCCAGCCTCTCCCTCGAGTGCAAGGCAGAAATGCAGAACAGGAGACTCAAACCTAGGTGTCACAGCTCCCCATTCAGGTAGACAACCTTCCTGGGGCCTCAGGTATCTAAGTCCCTGCTGGCCCCTCCATGACTTCACCTGTGCCTCTCACATCTTCTATCCAACCTTGTGCTTCCCAGACTCCAGGCTTTGGCTCCACCCCTGCACCCTGGGTGTGTCTCAGGGACTTCTCCTGCCCTGCTAGGGTCCCAGGCCTTAACCCTCTTCCTCCTCATCCTGCTATTCTGGGGCCCCTCTTGTCCTTGATGCCCATGCTGGTTGCCCCTCAGATTCTTATGCCTCCACTCAGAACTCACCACCCCTTTGTCCTTTTGCGTTCCCAGTCCCCTTCACACCTGCGCCATCCGTGGCTTCCCGAGACCTCCAACTCCTGAAAACCCCTCCGACCTTGTAGGTCCAAGAGCCCTCGCTTCCCTCTCCTTGGAACCCCTTTAAACCCAGACAGAAGGTCTCTAACTCTGTCTGCTGCCAGCCCCGCGACCCCTGCGCCCTCAGCGGTCCCACAGACACCAGGACCCGGTACCCCCGGTACCCCGCGCCCACCTTTGATGCTGATGCCCAGCCCGCCGGCGTCCGCCTTGCGCACAGTCACGCGGCGCCGCTGGAGCAGCAGCGCCTCGGGCAGCTGCGGGGGCGCCGCGCCCGGCTCGGCGGCGCCGTTGAGCTGCGCGGACTCAGGCTCCCGCGAAGCGCCAGGCTCGGGGCCGGGCTCGCCGTCGGCGGGGCTCACGGTCAGAGCGTCCTCTGCCAGACTGAGCAACACCCGCTGCCACCGCTCGCCGCCGGCCCCCGAGCCCGCCCCGGCGCTCAGCTCCAGCAGCCCGGTGCGCGGGGCGCGTCTGCCTGATGCCATCTTCGCCTCAGAGCCTCCGCGCCGCCGCGCTCACCCCGTCCCGCCGCGCCTGGCCCGCTCCGACCAAGCACCCAGGGTAGAGGGCAGCGGGGGCCCGGCTGGGCCAGCCGCCACCCTACCCTGGTCTGCTGGGGGCGGGACGTGGGCGGGGCTACCGCGGGGTGTGGCCAATGGCAAGGGGCGGGGCACAGCAGGAGCGGGGTGGGGGGAAACGTGGGCCCAGAGTTTAAGGAAGCGGTGCAAGACCATTGGAGGGGCGGGTCATAGGCCGTCAGGGCGGGGCCAGGAAGTACGAAGCGGAGGAACAAAGTGCCGATGCTGGACCAGGCCGTGGCGGGCGGGACTTCATTGGGGGCGGAACCCTGGGGATCCCTTGGAGAAGTAAGTTCTGGGAACCGTCGTCGAAGGCTAGGACCGTAGCTCTCAGACATAGGAACGCAGGAAAAAATGAACCGTGGATCCTAGTGCGAGGCCTTGGGCGTCGGGACGGGACTATGCATGATGGAACGCTGGGCTTCTAGGACTTTGCAGGGTTGCTAGTAGATGAGCTTCATAAGGAGTTGATTTCCCATTTGGGGATCCAGGGTTTAGTCTGTGGGCGTGGCTTAGTGAGGGGCGCAGCTTCTCAAAGGGGCAGGCCCGGCACACGGAGTGGAGAGCCTTAGATTATGCTTAGGGCTAACCGAGGAGATGGACAGTCTCCGCTTCTAAACCGGAGGGGAAGGGCAGGCCTGGCGTGGAGCATGTTTGTAATCCCAGCAACTCGGGAGGCTGAGGCAGGAGGATCACAAATTTGAGGCCACCCTAGGCCACTTATGGAGACCCTGCCTCAAAATTGGTTCGACCCCCAGTACCACACACACACACACACCAAACACACTATGAGGCCTGGTGAGAGAACCTAGAAGTCCTGGTGTGCAAGAAAGGTGGGCTGCAAGCTGGGAGTATAAATTTGGACGGCTAAAGACCTGGCTGGCTTCTGATCCCTGCTCAGATACTCCGTTGGCTCCAAGTCTCACTTTTCTAGTCCTCCTTTCCTTACCTGTGAAATAGGGGTCATAATAACCCCTATCTTACAGGGCTTGCGTAGGGATTAAATTGATGTGGAGAATGCACTGCCCACTGTGAATCTCCATTCTATCGATATAATTACTACCACTCAAATGCTTGCTATTGGCCAACTGTAGCACTTAGCATTTTTCATGTGCTGTCTCTGTTTTTACAGTAGACATGGAGTTGCTACTGTTAATGATGGCCTGCTATACAGAAAGGGAAACCTGAAATTTACAAGATCTAGTTGGTCAGGGTCACATATTTATGAATTGGGCAGAGCTGGGATTCAGGGCTACCTAGGCCTGTTTGACATCAGCACCTAGGCAGTAATCCACTCAGTGAGACAGTTGCCAAATACAGAAATAAGGCATGATTTTTGTCAGGAAAAATCACACCACAGCACACACTTCAACCCACCCTCCTATCTGCTGTTTGTCTCCATCCTCCACTCCTAGCTAGGATGTGTTGGGCAATAAATGGGTAGGGCCACACCAGCATGTAGACTCCCTGCACCTTTGGGTAGGATCCTCCACATAAGATTCCATCAAGGAAAAAGAAAAGAAAATTCACGGGGAAGGGGACATAAAAAGAATTAAGATGTGCTATGTACATATACCAACTCCTCATGATGCATGTAATCATTATGTACTCCAAACACATACTAATAAAAAAAATTTAATTTAAAAAAGAAAAACCACAAGAAAATAGGTACATATAAAGTTGTCTACAGCAAACTTATATTCATAAGTAACTGAACGCAAACCAAAATGTCCAGCAGTAGGGAAGGGAATGGCTCTTTACCACTGAAAATCTACCAAGGTCATATATATGATACATGTGAATTATATGCACATCCACATATAATACATAGATACCATTTATTTAGTGTTCACTATACATTGGCACATGAGCTGGCTGATTTATACACATTGTCATTTGAACCTCACATAAATCCTGGACAGCCTGTATATTACTCCTTTTTTGTTTTGTTTGAGACAGGGTCTCACTATGCAGTTCAGTCTGACCTCGAACTCACACAGATCCTCCTGCCTCAGCCTCCCAAGTGTTGTTCATCACCACATCCACCTTGTTCCCTTTTTATATATGAAGAGGATGGCAGGTGTACCAGTAGTAAGAATAAACCTCTATTTTAACCTGAGTCTGTCTGGCTTCCAAGCTCATATCCCTTCTGCTCCTTTCTGCAGCACACATAGTGGCAGGGGATGATTCTACAATTCATTTATTCACAAGTATTAATTGAACATCCACTATGTGCCATGATGCTTGGTGTAGGGATTCAGTTGTAAACAAGATAGACAGACTCTTACGTCACAGAGTATACAATCTTACGGAAGCCAGGATGCCCTAGTAACTCAAAGCATAGGGTTAACTGGGCATGATGGCACTCTGGGAGGCTGAGGCAGAAGGATCACAAGTTTGAGCCCAGACTGGCCAACTCAGTAAGACCTTGTCTCAAAATTAAAGTGGGCTGGGGATGTAGCTTAGTGTGAAGGTCTTAGTATTAAAAAAAAAAAAAAAACAAACCCAGAGATTTAGAGTCTGATTTCCTTCATTCAAATTCTCACTATAGGAAATGAAAATGGTTAGCTCACTGGTGGAGCACTTACCTGACAGGCATGAAGCTCTAAATTCGATCCTCAGCACCACCACTACCACCAAAAAAAAAGGCTGGGCGTGGTGGCTTACACCTCTAATCTCAGAACTCCAGAAGCTGAGGCAGGAGGATCTCAAATTTGAGGCCAGCCTTGGCTACCTAGCAATACCCTGTCAAAAAAAAAAAATTCTCACTTTTAGCCTTCATGGTTCTGGATGACTTGTGTAACTGGTAAACCTCCATTTCATAATCTATAAAATGGGAATAGTAAAATTACTACCCTTGGAATTATTATAAGGAATCAATAAAATAAAATAATACCAGTAAACTACTCAGCCCAATTTCTATTCATAATAAGTTTTCAACAAATATGAATTGTTGGGCCGGGGATTTAGCTCAGTGGTTTCGCTTTCACTGTCTGCTGTGCAAGCGCAAGGACCAGAGTTCGATCTCCGGTACCCAAAAAAAAAAAAAAAAAAAAAAAAAATATATATATATATATATATATATATATATATATATGAATTGTTATTATACTGGAAAACAAGCATCAACCAAACAGCTTTCATGTAGAGAGCTAAGTAACAAAACTAGGGAGACATAGGTGTGGTGGTGCACACCTGTAATCCCAGCATTAGGGAGGCTGAGACAGGAGGATCACCATGAATTTGAGGTCAGCCTGGATTACATAGAGTTCAAGGCCAGCCTGAACTACATGGTGAGACCCTGTCTCAAAAAAACAAAATAAAATAAAATAAAAAGAATTAAAAGTCTGGCATATATGTGTATGACAATAAATATATGGAAGAAAGTAGGAGTGAGGGAAGGGAGGAAAAATGGAAAGAATAGAAGGAAAGAGAGTATAACATTGTATATATTCCCTAATAATTTGAAAGTATAACTTTGCTTAAAGATTGTAGAACAATCTGAGAAGTTTAGGGTAAGAACTTGGGGTCAATAAGGATCACATCCAGGCCAGGGATTTAGCTCAGTGGTTCCTCCGCCTCCCTTGCAAGCACAAGGTCCTGAGTTCGATCCCTGGTACTAAAAAAAAAAAAAAAAACAAGAATCACATCCCATTTATTGGCTTCTGGAAGTGTCACTCCAATGGTAGAGAAGAGAGAGGTGAGATCAGGCCAGGGAGAATGGGTAAGCTCCTTTCCTGGGACCAAAGCCTGGAACCAAATCCTTAGAAGTCCTACCACGTACTGCCCTATTTAAAAGAGACTTAATGAGGCCCAGACAAACTTAGTAAGAAAGAGCCCCAATGGAGGGTTCCTCCCCTGGGGGACTATTTTCTGTGGATAGAATGGAAGGGGAGCAGGGGAGAGGATCTGTATGCAAAGAGGCTAACAGAAAGAAAAAGGATGTAGAGCTGAGAAAATAATGATATGTGTGTGCATGTGTGTGAATTTATATGCATTACATGTGCATGTGTGTCCATGATCACGGAGTACAGACAGTGCAAACACCCCAGGAAGCTGGAGCTGGAGGGAGGAATGCTCTGCTCCTCCATGTGGTCAGCTGATGCCTCTCTGCTGTGGCTCAGAAATTGGCCTCCCACACACCCACAGGCCTGGCTCCCCACCAAGCCCCAGGCAGAGCTCCCAGAGGAAAACAGTTCACCGTCAAGTCATAGGGGAGAAGGTGCTGCCCAGCCCCCTGAAGGCCCTACAGGCTCAAGCCCTCAGGCCAAGGTTCTGAGGCCTAGTCAGACAGGGAGGTCTGTCCTCTTTGGCTCCAGGGTAAGGAGCAGGGATTCTTATATTCCCATACTCAGGGACAGCAGTAATAATGACAGTTCACATGACTGACTACCCAATGTATGTGCATTCTGTGGATCATCTCAGTTTACATTCACAACAATCCTAGAAATACATCTTGTTACTATTCCCATTCAGCAGATGAGGAAACTGAGAGGTATCCTGGCACCACAGCTCCGTTTAACACTGTACTGCACCCTGGGAGACGTGTGGATGTTAGCAGAGGACATGAGGTTTCCAAAATCTAAGACTCAGGTACTGCCAGGTATGGTTGATGCACTCCTGTGATCCCAGCATTCAGGAGGCTGAGACAGGAGGATCACTGCAAATTTGAGGCTAGCCTGGGGCTATATAGTGAGTTCAAGGCCATTCTGAACTACATAGTGAGATCCTGTCTCAAAAAATTAAAATAAAAAGGACCCAGGTACTGTAGTATGTGGGAGGGGAACCAAACAGGAACTTCCTTTATCTGTCACTTTTTTTTTCTTCAGCACTGGGGATTGAACACAAGGCCTTCATACTGAGTTATATCCATTAGCCATTTTAAAAATTTTTTATCTTACAAAAAAATTTTTTTAGTCTTGAAACAGGGTCTCACTAAGTCACTAAATTGCCCAGGCTGGGCTCAAATTTGCAGTGCTCCTGCCTCACCCTCCCAGAGTCCTGGGATTACAGGCCTGAGCTATCACAGTACCAACCAGGTTATTTTTTATTCCATAGGCTGCACCCTTCCACTGAGCGGCCCTAGGATGCCGACCAGAGTCAGACTTCCAGAATGTTCTTGAATACAAAGAAGGCTCATGGAATTTAGAGTAAAGGAATGTTTTTTGTTGTTTTTTTGGGTACTGGGGATCAAACTCAGGACCTTGCACTTGCCAGGCAGGTGTGGCACCACTGAGCTAAATCCACGGCCTGTAAAGGAATGTTTTAAATTTTGTCAAAGAAAGTCTAAAATTCTGCTGCAGCTGTCTTATGAGTTCCTTCACAGCCCTCACACCACACGAACTTCAGCATCCTCTGTCTGCCGAAGGACATTTGTCTTCCCACCAGGTGGGACCTCTCTGAGGCAGGAACCCTGTCCATCTCACATATTGTTGTAACCCAGCATGTAGCATAGTGCCTGGTACTGTGAAATATTTGCTAAACGAGTGAACGAATGAGTGGATGAATGATTCCCAGGGAGAGTAATAGCTTAGGCCCCTGAGGTAAGCAGTGTGTGCTGGTCCAGTGAAGAAAGGCTGGAGAGGGACAGGCCTCAGTGAACTCCCTCTGTTAAGGGAGGTACTGTATTACCCACCTTAAAGTGCCAGCGCAGAGCCGGGCATAGTGGTATACACCTGTAATTCCCCCACTCAGGAGGCTAGGCAGGAGAATTGTGAGTTCAAGGTGAGCCTATAATACATAGCAGGTCACTGTCTGAAGAAAAAAAAAAAAGCAATGTGTGGTGGCACACCCCTGTAATCACAGCATTCAGGAGGCATTTTGCTGCAAGTTCAAGGTCACCCTGCCCTACACAGTGAATTTAAAGCCAGCCTGAATTACATAGTGAGACCTTGTTTGGAAAAAAAAGTCCCCAGCTTGGGACCTGGTAAACAGTACAAGTCCAGCACATGTGATAAATATGAAAAGAAAAAAGAAAGAAAGAGGCCTGGGATTTAGCTCAGTGGCAACATGCCTGCCTCCTCGAAAGCACAAGGTCCTGAGTTCAATCCCCAATACTGGATTAAAAAAAAAAAAAAAGAAAGAGGAAAAAGGGCTGGACCTGTAGCTCAGTGCAAAGACCCTGGGTTCAAGCCCCAATACCCCTCCTAAAAAAAACAAAACCCTGGTGTGGAGCTGAGACTGCTGACTGGTGACTTGGGTGAAGATTACAGAGCATCAATGGCAGAAAGATGTTTAAAGTGTGTAACAATCTAAGATAACCTACAACAGTGATGGAGAATCTTTTTTTTTTTAAATTGGAAAAATCAGCAATCATAATGATACAGGGAGAAGAGATGTAACTCCCAAACCTGCTAGGTATCCAGAACACTAGTTCGTGTTCTCTAAAATCAAAGAATGAATTCTAGGAACAACAGGTTAAGAGTAGGAAAAATTTACGTCATACTTTTTTTTTTTCTTTTTTTTTTTTTGTACCGGGGATCAAACTTGGGACCTTGCGCTTGTGAGGCAGGTGCCGGAACCACTGAGGTATCCCCGGCCCATAAGAGTAGGAAAAATTTATTGAGAAAACGAAAGCTTCTGCCTAAGAGAGACAGAAGGGGGACCGGAAAGTGGGTTGCCCACTTACCCAACTTCTCAGAGGTGGGACAAAGCCATGAGGTAAGGCGGGTCCAAGGTGGGACAAAACTGTAGTCAACTAGTAGGATTACAAGTACAGTACCTTAGGTAATATTGATTAAATGGGGCTTCAATGGGGAAACAAGTCACATAGCAAGAGTACAAGGAATGAGCAAGGATTTTTGGTGGTAAGGGGTGGGACAGGGATCTTTCCTGGCAGATCTTGGCCCCCCACCCAGGTGACTGATACCTATTTAGAATATCAATCACTGCCATTCATCCTACACGGGTGTGGTAGTTTCTCTCCTTTTACAATTCTGACCTTTCAGTGAATGTGTCTAGACTGTCCTCCTTGTTGGCTCCTTGTCGGCTGGCCCTGTCTAACTGCCTACAAAATATCTAATTAACTTACCTATCTGCAATAATAATGAGATATTTTATTTTATTTTTTTATTTTTGTTTTTTTTGAGCCAGGGTTTCTGCTCTTTTTGGTATGATCAAACTCAGGACTTTGCACTTGCAAGGCAAGCTGGAGAACCTTTTAGAGCTTTCAATAATATAAACAACCCACTGCAGCACATGTGCCATAGGTTTGTCTCCTCTGACCTAGAGAGGGTTGAGAAAGAAAGAAAAATGGTTCACAGGCTGAGCCCTGTAGTAGACATCAAGCAGGAGAGGATAGAGCAGTAGGGGATCCATTGCAGGAACCAAGGCATCTGCTGGTAAATGGAGCTGGACAAGAAGTGACAAAGGAGTATTGTTTTCTCTTAACCCAGACGCTAATCCTAGGCCTCTACTTCTGGCCCCAACACAAGAAAATAAACCTGTGGAGTCACAATGGTGGCTCAGGCTGGGCTTTGACCATGCCCAGGTAGGGAGGAAAACAAGACACTTCCAGGGACAAGAGCCAGGACAAAGGATCTGGGCTTTTTTTGCTGGTGACAATAGAAGCCAAGAGCAGAGCATGGTGGCACCTGTAATCCCAGCACTCTGGAAGCTGAGGCAGGAGGATCAATATGAGTTCAAGTCCAACCTGGGTTAGATGGCCAGACCCTGTCTCAACACTCTCCCCTAGGAAAAAAAAGGGGGGGGGGGTCCAGGAAGGTGTTAACCTTGGCATAAATAGACCCAGAGTCATAGTCTAAGATCCAAATCCAGCACTTCCCAAAAAAAGAACCAGAAACTCAACAGAGGCATCACCATCCCTGTCCCACAGCCCAGCATGGTCACTGGCAAAAGGCACAGCCAAAGGCAGACTTGACTCCCCATGCAGGCGCCACATCTGAACACTACCAGAAGGGGGCAGCAGAGAGCCGGAGCTGCAGGGTCTAGCAGGCAGGACATCCAGCTCTGGCAGAAGACTGAAAAAAGGGGTGGGAATTCTTGAGATTGTTGCTTTTTTTTTTTTTCCTCTGATGGGGCTCAAACCCAGGGCCTTGTAATGTGCTAGACAAGGGCAGCCAAGATTGTCACTTTTGAAGCACTTTCTTCCCTTCATGTGAAGATTACACATTCATTTCACAGATAGTGACAATAATTTATTAATCCCTGCCCTCAGGAGGCTGAAGCAGTAGGATCCTTAAGAGTTCAAGGCCAGCCTGAACAACATAGCAAGATCCTGTCTCCAAAATACACACAAAATAGCCTGGCATTAGAGTGGAAGCAAAAACTCAGCATCCAAAGACCCAAATTGCTTCTTGGCTCCACTACCTACCAGCTGCATGGCCTTAGATATTTAGCTTCTCTATTTTTCAGTTTCCTGTGCAAAAAAATTGGGATCATAATAGTATCTACTATTGGGTTATTGTGAGGATTAAATGAGGTGAAGCCTACAAAGAGGAAGTAGGTGCATAATACATGTTCAATCATCATTTTTTTTTTTTTTTGAGTCAGGGTCTCACTATGTAGTTCAGGCTGACCTTGAACTGGGGGCAGTCCTCCTGCCTCAGTCTCCCAAGTGCTGGGATTACAGGGACGCACTACCATGCGTGGCTATCGTACTGTTCTAATTGCTATGACTGCTGCTGCTATATCACCTCCTCCCTCCACCCTGGCACCAACTCCTGGAGGTTCAACCTCCAAAAGGCTCTCAAAGCGGTCTCCACCCTGCATTTCACAGGCCCAGCCTCATCTCTCATTTCATGGCCTCTGTGAGGGTCTTGTTAAACAGATCTCCAGTTCACACCCCAGTTTCTGCTTCAGTGGGTCTTCAGTAGCCTGAGAACTGGCTGTGTGTGTGTGCGCACGCGCTATAAGGTATAAGGACAGGGCTTGCTAGGCAAGTACTCTACTGAGCTACATTCCCCATTCCCCAGGCTCCTCACTTGCTCATTCTTATTTTGAAACTGGGTTTTGCTAAATTGCCCAGACGGGGCTCAAACTTATGATCCTGTGCTGGGACTACAGGCATGCACCACCACACCCGGAAAAAATTTGCCTTTTTCCAAGTTCCCAGATGATGACCGTGCCAACAGTCCAAGATTCACACTTTAACAACCCTGCTTATGAGTGCTGATTCAAAGGTCTTTCATCTAAACCCCGTCTCCAGCCTGGTGGCCTCAGGAGTAGAGGGGAAGGTCCATCAAATATGGCCAGAGGCTATAGGCTGGGACCTGAAGAGGCTGACTTCTGGTTCCAGGAGTTGGCCTTCACCCTTGGAATCTGTGGCCTTGCACCACCCAGTCACGGGGTCAGAGCCTGAAAATACCACTCCTTGGTTCTAACAGGTAATCAGCATGCACACAACACCTGCACATACACGGCCCTACCCCCACCAGTCACCCCACCCCCACCCCGAAGCCCCGTGTGCTTGTGCAACACTCCGTGGTTTCCCACCCCAAGCACACCTGTCTGGCCCAGACCTCACCCGCACCCAGGCTCCTTTAGAGGAGTTCTCTCCCTTCTCCTCACAGATGTTTGCTCACCCTCCTCTCTCCTCTGAAAGTCCCTCCAAAGCATCCATTGTAATTTTTCCAAATCACACATATTAATAGACTTCCTTGGCATCCAGGAGCCCTCAGAAAAGTGCCCAGCCCTGTGTGCAGGGAGGGGTTCCTGCAGCCAGCCCCCGACACACCTTGCTTGCCTCCCTCCAATCCTGCCTTTGCTCCCACATGCTCTGACTCCAACCCACGAGAATCCCTGAACCACCCCATCCTGAGCAGGGGTGGGGTGGGGGAGAGGAAGGAGAGTGTGGAGGTACACGCCTATAATCTCAGCACTCTGGGAGACTGAAGCAGGAGGATCACAAGTTCGAGGCCAACCTGGGCAATTTAAGAACTTTTCGAGACTTTGTCTCAAGAAGTAAAAAAAGGAGCTGGGAATGTTGTGAAAGTCCTAATTCAATCTCCAGTACTCCTTCCCCTCCCCCCACCAAAAAAGACGGAAAGAAAAAGAGAGAAAGGATGGAGGCCAAACGATGCACTTTGCAGAGGCCTAGCATCACACAGTGAAAGAGCGGCACACCTGAGAAGGGAACCCAGTGCTCCTGGCCACCCCAGGCAGCCTTTCTCCTTGTCTCCCCTCAGCTCTGCCCCAAGTCATATGTGACTTGGAGACCCTTCTCAGCTTAGCCTGGAGGCCTCCCCCAGTCTGCAACCTCCCCCA